AAAGTTTTACTAATACTTCTTTGACAAATTCCAAATTGAGACTAGGGCCACATTTGCATTTACCTTTGATGTAGAGTATTTTGTGCAAGTGTTTGTGCCTTCTTGGATCTCTGAGTGACTCAGCCCCACCCTGAGTGGTGGCATCAGAACTCTGAGTAAAGTCCTTGAGGCCTGAAGCCATACCACAGCTTGTGACATTTACGTCCACGTATCCAAAGGCTTTATCCACCTCTGTGCGTGAAGCTGTGAACTGTATTTCCCGTTTGACTAGCAGAACTAATTCTTTGCTGTTACAAACTCATATTGAGCATAGTTATTTTATTAGTATGATCTTCATTTATTTCATTACCTTTATACGAGCCTTCTTTCTAGACAGTCACACTAAAGCCAGAAAAGAAAAACTCAATTCTAAAGCGCACAGGACTACCATCCTTGGAAGCTTTTAGGTCTGGAACATTTATTCACACAACATTAGTCTTTCTAGTAGCTGAGTATTTCGACTCAGGAACACAAAAGCAGTGAGTGTGTGACTTGTCTGTGGATGGGAAGTAGTAAAATTGTCCTTGAACACATTGTAAGCTGAAATTGACCCAGCTGTACACTTCACTGGAGAAAAATATTCTTTCAGAGGAGGTGGTAGATGTAGCTTGATTTAGTCTAAAGAAAGAGTAACCTTTTTTTGGCGGGGGGAGAATAACTGTTTTGAGTGTTGTATCCCATACACTTTCAGTCTCATTATGAGAAATATCGTAATAACATGAAAACAAACTCTTGTTACCCAGAAACTCTGTGTGCGAGACTGTCTGAACTCAGCTGAGGTGGGGTGGATGGGAGTGATGTTTGAAACAATAGAATTCCAGGTTTGTCAACAAATTTTAAGAGTTCTTTAGATGTTGTGTTGGAGTATGAAGTACATAACCTTAATAAGGACACACACAATCTGAGACTTTCAAGTACTCACCTGATGTTCTTCATGATAATTGTTTATGGACCTGCTTACCACTCAAAGGTGAATTAGAGATGTGACAGTATTGTGGCTAAACTTGAACATTGGGAAAGACCCCAGAAAGCTTAGGTTGAGTAACAGGTGTGTCTGAGGACATGTAACCACAATAATGACAGAACCAGACCAAAAACGTAGGGCTCCTGATCCATAACTCAGAGCTTCTTTGACTGAACTGTACCACCTTCACTTGTCAGAAGTGGCCAGTGCCTGACTGTCTGACTTCCCAGAGACCTATCCCCAGCATGGAGTCATTTCCTCTTAGTGGGTCTAGGACCCTCTGGCTGATTCCTGGGGTCCTGCTTTGTCTCAGCATAGCCTGCATCACGCTTTGCCACCGGGCCAGAGTCTTGGAATCCTTCTTGCCTTCTGCAGGCAGCCACGACTGTGGCAGAGCTTGGCTTCCTGCCTCTCTCACCTGCTGCACAGAGAGGATTACATCCTTTCTGGAGCCCCTCTGTGGAGCAGCGAGGCCTGCTTAGCTCCAGCATGGGAAGTTTGCTAGAGAAAATTGATTTGTTTCTGGATCTTTAGCCACTGCTGCATTCATTGTTTATGCATTTTTGCTTGTTTTCTTTCTGGGTCTAGAAATATTCCATATCAAGGAATGAGCAGAAATGGAACCTATATAGGGAGTCCAGACCGGGTTGCAGAGGCAGAGGATGGTTCAGAAAGGGCAAAGAGGCCACAGGGCAAAAGGCAACAAGGAGACCAGATGCCTCACATAGCTCACTTCTCCTGGCAAGTCCTGGAGAAGAGAGTGCCTGTGTGTGTACACATGCATGTGAGGGAGGGAAGGAAGGAGAGAGAGAGAGAGAGAGAGAGAGAGAGAGAGAGAGAGAGAGAGAGAGAGAAGATATTGAGAGAAAAAGAGAGATTGAGAGAGAAAGGGAAGTACTGAGAGAGAAATATTGAGAGAGAAGGAGATACTGAGAGAGAGAGAGATGGAGAGAGGGAGAGAGTGCAAGGACAGGGAGGGGGTAGAGGGAGAGGGAGGGAGACAGGCAGAGGGAGAGGGGGAGAGAGAGGGAGAAGGAGGCTTTCCGTGTGTGGCTTATTTTAGGTTTCAGTATTTTCCTCTTTCAATTTAAATAGATAATTCTGAAGTCTCTCCAAACTTCATTCATACAGGATGAAATAAATTCGATTCCAAGATTGAGTATAAAGACATTTTGGTCTTCTGTAAATGCTGAACACATCCTCTAATGACAGGCTCTTTGAAAAATGCTTGTGTAGCTAATGTCTAGTTACAAACACTCACTACATCTTCAAGGAAACTTCTAAACTCTTCGTGTTAAAAAAGAATCTGTTTTGCTTGTTTTCCTTCTCTGGATATGACCCAAGAGTTGGACATACTTTCTATAAACGGAGTAATTAGAAGCGCGTCTTTGCCCCACCAGAAGAGTGCTTGAAAAAAGCATTCCCCAGAAGTTACCCACAGCCAGCATAAAAAGAGAGAAGGTACACCGCTTAACTTGTGTTTTGTGTTCTCTCTAGTCACCTATCCAGTCATCCATGACAGAGGACAGAGAAACAAGGGATGATCTTATTTAAGTATCATAATTAACCCTCGAAGTTTTATACAAACTCAGGGTTTCACTGTTTTTGAAAAATTTGTTTCTGCTGGGTTTATTATTTATCTAAACTGTATAGGTATTCGGCGAAAGTTTGTGTTGTGGTTTCTTTTTAAAGAACATGGGGATTTGGCACCCCTGTTAATGGGGAGATGGAAGGGAGACAAGTGATGGCCAGGTTTTCCACCATGGATGTGGAATTGCCGTGCGATCGTGTCGCGCTCGTGGCATGAACTTGAATACAAATCTCCGGAGATTATTGCTTATTGAGGTGCTGCGGAGGGGCCATCTCTAGTGATGAGAAAATACAGATGAGCATATTGGTGCTTACTAGGATCGTTCGCAAATCGACCACAGGTGGATAGAACATTGTTCTTCTGAGGTATCTGCTGGTACACATTGGGAAATGTTCTCGTTGGGGATTCACCCTTTGGGGAAGGAGACAGGATGGCAGTTTCCACAGGATGGGAATTGCTGACGTGCTGGGAGACTTGAATAAAACTCAGATATTTATTAGTGCCAGGCCAACTCCAGTGATGAGAAAATACAGATGCAATTGCTTACTAGACGTTTCCACAGGTGGATAACATGACATTCTCTAGTTTGCTGTACACATTAGGAAATAGTCTCTGGTTTTTCTTGTTCTTTGGTTGAATGTGGGCCAAAATTAAAAAAAAAAAATTCATTCTTACAGTAATGCATGTTTGCTTTTCCCCCTTTGTAATCTGATTCCAAACTCAGTGGAGGAGAGTGTTTTGTTCAGTTCCCACCAGGTTTAACAAAAGGGTGATTTTAAACTTTTTATTACTAGGAAAGAGTAAGGTATTTGCAGATGGCAACAGGTGACATTTTTAGTCTTCTTAGCCACACAAAAACTCAATGGACACTATTCATTGATCAAGTGCACTTTAAAAAATCACTTTCAAAGGACACCATGGTTTATCAACATTAAATAAACACTTGGTGAAGTATGCATAAATATTCTCATATAAACACAGCACAACATTAAATAGTTCAGATACACACACACCACTGAGAGCACTCCACTGTTGTCAGAGAGGTCTGTAAACACCACCTCACACTGAATACAAAAGCAGCTTCTGACCCAGCTCTGGGTTCACGACAAGGATGCCCCCACAAAGGGAAAAGTTTTCTGCAGCCCTCCCACCCCCATCCCACCCACACAGCCCCAGCAAAAGGAAAAGAAAGAACCCCAACAGTACAGCAGCAACAAGAGCAAGAGCAGCAGCACCCCGCCCCCTTCCCCAGAGAAAACATTGAGCATTTGGGTCAATTCAGAGGACAATGCAGAATTAGTTTTTCAACGTGTAAGAAAATCAATTGGAAGCAACACTTTTCCAAGTGCAATTCTTTCTTCAGAGGACACAAAACTTCCTAGACCCTACCTATTTCTGGGTGAAGTTTACACAGTGAAGGCCCGAAGCCCAGGCCACAGGTAAGGGACAGGGCTCGGTAAACCTATTTCCTTTTAGAAGGTGCCAAGTAGCAAGACATTGAATACAATGCTCTCCTTCGTCCCCGCTTTTTGCTTTGCCATAGGTATTGCTGTGTATCACTTTCACAGGTGATACTAGGATTGCGTTTCGAGCAGTTTCCATAGAAGAGATCTTGTCTGGAAACATTCAGGTTGGGATGACTAAATTCAAACGTGTGGATATGGTTCATTCTTTGAGTTCAGAGGGGCCCAGGTTAGCTGTATTGATGGAGATACCACCAAAGGACATTGCTTGGACTGAGTCTGGTTCAGCCAAGGTGCCAAGTGACAATCGAGGCTGTCTGCTTGGCACAGACCTGCAGGGAAGGTCTGACTGCTCTCTGCTGGATGTCCTTCAGGGTGCTTTGTGGAAAGCAGCCCCAGTGTCAAAAACTTTAAACTGGGTTTATTTCACTGTTTCATTGTATTAGGATCCTAGCGGACTTCAGTTACCAATGTACTGAAAGCATATATTGCAGGAGTAATTTGCCAGTTCAGTGTTTCCCATTATATTATATACACTATGTGTGTGCGTGCAGAACTCACACACATATATATACTTATGCAATTTTATTTGTACGAAACTCGAACTGCACAAAACAGTACTTTGCAAGAATCAAAGTTGGGACAAGAAGGTTCAGCTTTGCACTGTATGAAATAATGTCAGAACCACGGATTGATTCACAAGCCTGCTGTGTTCCACACGGGGTCTGGATCACACTTGGGATCCTTTGGAAGAACATGGCAACTGCCCAGCAAGGCTCATCCGTGAATCTAGAGCTAACGGGAGTTAAAAGACCCAATCAGATCAATTTGAGTGTATAATTGCCATGAAGCAAAAATTTTTTTCCTCTTTAAGAAAAAAACCACTGAAAGTCTATTTCAGAATAAATTTCTTTATAGTATGCTTTTTTTTTTTTTTGCTGAATTGGTATTTGACTTTTAATATTAAAATTAGTTTATTCAATGAATCAGTAAACAGGCAGCTTGATTCATCTCTGGGTGATAAAAACATTTTATCATCACCAGGAGTCGCCCCCCCCCCCACCCCAAGCCTTACTTCTCCTAAGGTTTGCAGGTTGATGTGTGTGTTTTGTCACTGGTATTGATAAACTCTCATTCTACAAGGCCTGCTCGGGCACTCGCTTGTGGAAAATGACCGATTGTCTTTGCTGGTATTGCTGCTTGCGCCTTTTCCTCTTGTCACACTGACACAGCAGTAGCATCTTGAAGGTGGTTCTGAATGTTTTGTTGCACAGGGCATAGCACACGGGGTTCACGGTGCTGTTGATGTAGCACAGCCAGTAGCCCAGATTCCAATAGGTTTTGGGTATGCAGCTGTCGCAAAAGGTGTTCACCAGGACCATGATGTTGTAGGGGGTCCAGGTGATGATGAAAGCAAGCAAGATAGCGCTCAGGGTCTGGGCTGCCTTCTTCTCCTTGATGAGAGACATTCTCTTCCGCTTTGTGATTTGACTTCTGGTCTTCAGAGCAAACCTCTTGGCCAGTGTGGCTTCCTTGAAGGACAGAGGTAGAGTGGCCGTGGTTTTGCCCACTGTGGAGTTGGCATCAGGAGGCTTGGCTGGGTCCACGGCAGACTCTAACTGGATGGGAAGTTTGGAGAAGCTCTTTTGAAAACTGCCACCATCGTCCATGCTCTTCTGGGCCTGCAGCTTATTGGCATTGCTCTCCACATCCACCGTCCCCAGCTCCTCCTCGGCCACCTGCAGGTTGTCTGACGAGGGTAGTTTGGTAGAGTTGAGGATGGTGCTGTGGCCTGGAAGCTTGAGCACAATGGAGTAGATGGCTCTTGTCTCTGAGCCAATGTCCTCCTCATCGGAGGACGCTGAGTTCTCCAGAGAGGCAGCAGCATCATTGTTGTTCCAACTGTCGCTGCTGCTGTGGTCTTGGTCCATCTGCTCAGCGCTGGGCTTCCAGCTCTTGGTGGTGAACCAGAAGTGGCAGCGGCCATACTTCCGCCTGGATGAGCGTTTCACGCTTTGCTGTTGAAGTTCATAGCTGCTGCAGCTTCGAGAACTGCCTGTGGGGTGGACAAAGTTTTCTGCCTCTGCCTCGGTCCCAGAGGCCTGCAGCCCAGCCAGCTCTTTGGTACGCTTTTCAGTTTCCTTATAGATCCTCCAGTATAAAATAGTCATGATGGTGACAGGCATGTAAAAGGCAGCGATCGCCGTGCCGAAGGTGATGGTGGGCTCACTGAGGAACTGGATAAAGCACTCCTCTGAGGGTACAGTTCTCTTCCCCACGAAGTACTGCCAGAACAAGATGGCAGGAGCCCAAAGGATGAAGGAGATGACCCACGCCAGACCAATCATCACACCGGCTCTTTTTGTTGTTCGTTTGGCTCGGTATGTGAGTGGCCTCGTGATAGAAAAGTACCTGTCAAAGCTAATGACCAGGAGGTTCATCACAGAGGCATTGCTGGCCACATAGTCAATGGAAAGCCAGAGGTCACAGGCCAAGTTCCCTAAAGCCCATCGGTTCATGATGATGTAAGTGGTGAACAGATTCATGGAAATGACCCCGATGATTAGGTCAGCACAGGCCAGGCTTAAGAGGAAGTAGTTATTGACCGTCTTTAGTTGCTTGTTGACCTTAAACGCCACTATGACCAGGATGTTACCGATGATGGTCACCAGGGCCAGGATGCCAGTTAGGAGTGCAATGAAGACCACCTGCCAGATGGTGTGACCTCCCAGAGGATCGTTGGTGGTCTTCAGAGAGGAGAGATTCCCAGCTGCTCGAGAAATATTGTAGCTGCCAAATTGAGTGACTGGCCCTGGGGGCAGCCCTGTGTCGGAGGGGCTGTGTATCCAGGAAGAGCTGATGTTCGGAAACAAAGGCAAGGTTGTGCTGTTATTGTTCAAGTTCATTGTGACTCTCTGACATAGTCTGCAGAGAAAAAGAGAGAAAATGGAGTTAGGGAAATTAAGACTTTTTTTTGGGGGGGGAGCGGGTATGTTCTCTGTATCACATACATGGAAGACTTGATGTAGGATGCCATGTGAGGCAGCCAAACGTTATCAAGTTCATTCTCATTTTTTAAGGGTGAAGAGTCCCGGGAAAGCAAAGAATGATTCGCGACAATACAATTAACGAGTAGGCTGGCTTAAACATTGTGCTTTCCGCCGTATTTCTAAATATACTCCTTGTTATGCTGTTATCAAACAAAATGGCACCATTAGTTCTCTTACTTGCTTGTCTTCTTTTAAGAAAGGGAAAATATTCAATGCTTACATAACAATCATTCAGTGTAGTGTCATCATCATGCTACTTGATAAATTAACTTGATTCATTTGCATTTTAAGCACCTGAGCATTTACCTATCTGAAGCTTCAGACATAAGCAACTTGAGTCTCACTGGAATAACAAAACCCAACTGGAAGCATGAGTGAAGAAAATGAGTGTAAATCAAATTATGTTATATTGCCTCTTTAAAGCATGAATTGCAAACACAATGCATTGATTTCTTGAGACATTTGGTAACTTGCTCATTTCATTTGAACTCTCTGAAGAATCTTGTTTTCCCATCATCTCTTTCACTGCAAAGATTCCTGGATGTAGCTAGTTTCCTCCTCCTTTGTTGAGGTCGTCTTGTGTTGTTAACAGTCCTCCTCTTGCCAGCCCAGCCCCGGGGGTTCCCTGCACCTCACACAGACATCTACAGCACTTGCTGAACACAGTCATCAAACCACTTTCTAAGTCTCTGCTCTCATGTCCCATGGGAAGTGATCATAGTCTGTGGCCTTGGTTTCATTTCTTTTGGCATGCTGATTTTATTATAAATATAATGCTTAACAATCCCAATGCTTTTTACACCTGTCTTCTTTCATTTTTTTCCTCTCCTTAATATATGTCACAGTGGATGTCTCTTATTTGTCACTCTGTTGGCTGTTCTTTTGGAAATAACTTGTCACTCATACTCTGTATTTTGGGTTAGGTACTGGACACCTAGGCATGAGTCTTTGACCACAGAAGCGGAGCCACGTCCAGAGGGCCAATCCGAGGAACTGGTACAGATGCTGAAAAGAGACAGAAACTCTTTCATCTTTGGTGTTGCTAGATGCTGGTCACCCTATTGTCACCTTGTGGAAAAACTGAGAAGTTAGAAAACTCAGAAGAAACCCTGCAAGAGGAGACAGAATATCAGGAAACAGAGCATGGGGATGAGTCCTTTAAGAACTGGATTTAAAGGTGGCACATACTTGTAATCCGAGCTACTCAGGAGGTGGAGGCAGGAGGATTGTGAGTTCAAGGCCAGCCTTGGTAAAGTTAGTGAGATGTTGTCTCAAAAACAAAATACAAACAAAAAGGGCTGGCACTATGGCTTAAGCGATAAAGTGCTTATTTAACAAATGTTAGGTCCTGGGTTCAATCCCCAGTACTAAAAAAAAAAAAAAAAAAAAAGAAAAAGAAAAGAAAAAAACCTGGCTATAGTTATTTCTATGTCAACACAAGTGCATGACCTTGTTAGTTATGTAAGTCAACAAATTCCCTCTTTTGCTGGGGCTAGCTGAGATAGGTTTCAGCTAATAGGTTCCTGACTAACATATTCTGTCCTTATCAGCATGTGTACATCTCAGTGACTCACTGCTAGCTTTAGGCTATTGTATCTGTGCTACAGAATTCAGTAAGTTCCAGCCTCTGGCCTCCATGAACTGCCCCCTAGCTGAGATAGGAGGCATGGGTAAAATATTAAAAAAAAGTCACAGTTACGTAGGTAATAGTAAATTGCTCCCTGTGGATACTCATATTATGTTTGTACAAATTCAATAGCATCTGAATTTGTGCAGTTGATCAATGGTATTGAAGAAGTAAGAATTTTGGAAATGAGCTTAAGGTCAATTATTTTCTTTAATCTACTTCATTCTATGAATCAGTAGAACCCCATAAACTGTAGTATTCCAGGGCAATTATGCTTTGTTGGAGTACAGGAAATAAATGACACTAGAGTTGAGGAAAAGACGCTGACAGGTGAGCCTAGCTTGCTATGACTCACTAAATACCTGTCCTGTTGTGAATGGAATCCAGGGTCTTCTTGACTAGTTGTTAGAAAACCTTCGAATCACAAACTTTCAGATGTGATCCTTGACTTGCATTCTTTGGCAGAGCTCCCACTGGTCACAGTTAGTCTTAGAGTCAACCTTCATTCAGGATCTAATACCTTCTTGAAAATCTCAGAGGTGTGCCTTTCTTATTTTTAAAGATGTTTTAGAACCTGTATATTATGAGCTGAACAAACGTTTTAAAACTATGAGAGAGTCACTAAAGGGGAATGGCCTTGTCACCTGTGTACCCACGTGAAACAACACCCAAAGTTCAATAATTGCAATTTCTAATTGCAGCACTTGGGTTTTCTTCTAAGAACCGGATACATGAGAGCAAACAGCAAAAAGGAAGACATGAATCTGGGCAATGAGCATGACATTGAGGAAAACAGAGCCTTTTTGATGACCTGTAACTGTGAGGAGAGAAATGCTTAGGAAATTGGACACTCATCTGGAACAAGACACACTAACAGCACTTCTACTGATAAGTAAAACACTCTCATCACCAGCAATAATTTTTCATTTGAAAGCAGCAAAGCGGAGTTGAAAATCGCTGGTCTTTGGGGTCTGGCTGATTTGGGTTTGAGTTCTGAGTTGGCTCAGGAAGTGTACAAATTGGCAAGGTACCTGATGATTCTGAGGCCACCTTTTTCATCTACAAAACTGGACCACAACCACCCACCCTGTGGGAGCTGGAGATGGTAAGAACATTATGGTGTGGCTGGCTAATACACCAAAGTATTGATGGGCTGGTGACCTCCCTTGTCCCAGTGTCAGCAGCTTATGTCCTCAGAGCTGGGAGAAAGAAACCTGTGTACACTCGATTTCTGATTTTAAAGTAGACTTCAAGTACTCTGGTAGGGATTTGTCTTTAAAGGTAAGGTTTTTAAGCAGTGCAAACATTTAGGACTTAGCATCAAGTAATGATGAAGTGACCTAAGCACAAGGTAAGTAAGAAAGATCTCCTTTCATCCTTCCCAGACTGAATAAACTGTAAAAAGGTGATATGGCAATATTAACGCTGATGAAGTATGCACACCAAGAACAGCAATTTAACTTTTAGGTATGCATTCTCTAGAAATTAGTGGATGCACACAGGGAAATGTGCACAAGGATGTTCACTAAAGCATTTGTAGGTTAGACAAAAATTAGGAAAATCTAAAAGACTATTAATTTTAGAATGTTCAGACAGAAAAAGGAATACTACATAGCAGATAAAAAATCAACCTGATATATATGTACTAACTTGGAAGTATAAAAAAAATATTGTTGACTATGAAAACAAGTTGTGGGTTGATGAATACAACATGCTATAGCTTTAGGTAACAATAAAAACACAACACTAGTGTGCACCTTATATATGAAAGATGTTTCATATGTCTTACATATTTCCATACTTACATATTTACTGTTATCATAAAAAGGATAGATACACCAAAATCAGATATCAGCAGTGATATTTTTGTGGAAGAAGATAGTTAGGATTGAGTTATGGACAAGAGGAATTTAGGGTAACCTGAAATGTTCCAAATGACAAAATAATCAATGGTTTCCAAATGACAAAATAATCAATGGTTTCCAAAGCCACAGGGGGAGAAGAGATTTAATAGGGGAAGGAAGATATTTGTGTTGCTGGCCAAGAAGGGGCTGGATGTTGCCATCACCCTGGTGTGGCCTTTTTTTTTTGAGGATTGAGGTTTGAAGTCATCCCAGGAAAATAGTTTGAGAGACCCTACCTTGAAAATACCCAACACACACAAAAAAGGGCTGGCACAGTGGCTCAAGTGGTAGGGCGCCCGCCCAGCAAGCATGAGACTCTGAGTTCAAATTCCAGTACCACCAAAAAAAAAAAAAAAAAACCAGAAAAGAAAAAGAGTATCTCAGTGTAGAGTACTTGCCCAGCATGCAAAGGGCCCTGGGTTTCATTCCCAGTAGTTAAAAAAAGGATGCAGTAGAAAATTTGAACATAAATAATTTGGACATATTGAGGTTAAGAGAAATTGAGTGGTAGCTATGAGACATTTGCTCCCTTCCTCCTAGGTATGGAATAAAAGTATTTTTGGTTTATAAATCTAAAACATATAGATAGTGGTTTCAATGTTTTTAAAATGTAAATGTCCAATAAGTACAAAAGTGCATGTGGATATGAAAGTGAATGTGCTGAGAGCAACTGGAACCACCACAAGAAGGTGAGGCGCTTCGATGAGGTTGGAGTCCCAGGGGACAAACTCGTTTCATTGCCTCTCAGCCATATGACAGGAGCTACTCTGGAAAGAGGACCCAATGTTCTCAATTTTTAAGCGCCTTGAACTGATAAAAAAGTGTAAATTACTTTCCCTACTAGAAGTCTAAATTAATTCTACCTCTTTCAATTACTCTTTCTTCTCACATCCAAGGGAAAAACCAAAAATATCTACGCAATTTGCAACCGTGATGTTTAAAAAGACCAACTACCTAGTGCTTCTTCTTGATTTAGAATCCCAAGTCCATCATTTTCAGGGCTTGTTTTGGGTCTGCCTTTGAAAAGAGGGTCTGTTTTTTGTCATAATTCATTACAGCACTCAACAGCTGAAACTACTTTCCCCAGAGCAGTCATGGGCCTGTGGGTGGAAATACCACATCTGGCCACTAGGTGGCAAAGCAGACTCAAAGAGCAGCCTCTGGGCAGGAAGGAGCCACAGCTGTAACCTGTTCCCAAGCCAGGGACTGGGAACTTCAGCTTAGTTCAGCCATGCGGTGGGTGGAGGATATCAAACAGGGTCAACAAAGCTTTGCCATCAAACGTGTCTTTAAAGGGAATCAAACTTGGCATTCATTTCAAGCTGCAAGGAGGGAAGATGTTAC